TTTTCTCTCACTTCCAAAATGTAGAACAAGAAAAAAAAAATGAAGCAAATCTCAAAAGAATTATGGAAAAATAAATAACTCACCATCCTCAAGAGTTCGAATCAAAAGTTTTGGCTTGCTTGGTACACCATCACCCATCTTTGTAAAGGCTAGGACTTGTATATCATAGATGACGTACTTCAGTAGCTTTTTCAGAATGATGCTTTTAGTGTTGTTGCTGACCACCCGGAAGTTTGAGGCTTCTTTTGGATCCTTGGATTGGTAGATTATCTTTGAAAGAAAATAAGAAAAAAATGTGAAAATGGGGTTATATATATATATATATATATATATATAGAGAGAGAGAGAGGGGGACACAAATGATATATATTTTTATATATCGAGAACAATATTGGGGAAAATGTATAACAAACTAAAAAGTGAACTTGTGAGGTTCACTTGGCCTTTATTGGACTAAATTTGTTATTGGCACGACCACATTCACACAATGGATGCTGGGATTTTAGAATTTTTTTTTCATTCTGAAAAAAAATTATAAAATTCTCAGTATGCCTGAGTTCAATGAAGTTCTGAAGGATTAAACACGCCAAAAGTAAACTTTTTCCACTTTGTCATACATTTTCCCCAATATATATATATATATATATATATATATATATATATATATATATATATATATATATAGAGAGAGAGAGAGAGAGAGATAAAGACATTTTTTTATATGTTTATACATTCTTTTTATAGATACAAATATTTAAGTAAATGCTGTCTTTATAACAAACAGTATTAAACAACATTTAGCGGCCTGAATGTCCGAGAAATTTTCCGACAGGATTCGAACCTGTATCCTATACGGAACCGTCATTTAGCCTGACGTGCCTTTTAACCAATTCGGCCACCTTAGATCGTTCGGTTAGCTAGGTTGAATTTACTGCTTTTAAACGTCAATCTTCCATGAATCTCTCGCGTACATTCATATCTGCTCATGGCGTATCAAATGTAAACAAATGACGTCACACATTATGAAATGGTCAAAGTCCGTCAATCTTTTTTTTATGTATATACATTCTTTTTATAGATACACATATTTAAGTAAATGCTCTGTTCATAATAAATATATAAAAGTGAACATTGAAGTCAACACTCAGACGTTCACGTTTATATTTACACACGCTCTAGCTCTGATATTGAGCACTTTATCCCATAAATATAGCACACCTGAAAACTATATTTCTTTATATATATAATGTTAAGGTCTATACTTAAGTGGTGTAAAAAAACAGATATAAAATGTATGCACATATAATATATAAAATGTTAATGTCTATAATTGACAAGTGTAAAAAAACCTGGATAGTGCAATTTGCCAATAAAAATATATTAAAACAAATTGGTATCTAGGGAAAAATTTATAAAAAAAAGAAAAAAAAAAGACTAAAAACATTCAAGTAGAATGGAAAAAAAAAAAAAAAAAAAAAAAATCACCCAGTGCTGTAATTTCGAGTCCAAAGAAAACAAAAACACAATTGAGTAAAATACGAAAAAACAAAGTGCTCAATATAAGTAGAGCAGAGTATAAAAAATCCTAGTGAGCCAGAAACTATTGACCTCGGTTTGAGCTCAATGGATCGTCAGGGTAAGATGCAGATCCACCTCGGTAGGTAGTTCCTGGCTCACTAGGATTATACAAACAAAAGTAAAACTTATCTTAGCTGAAGTATTTTGTCTTCTGTTGGACATTATCAAGACAAATGCAAGGGTTTTATTCTGTAACAAGTACAGGGTGACCCAAAAAAACGGGAACTTTTTAATAATCCAATAAAACCAAGAGTGATGGAAGAAAAATATTTTATTCATAGTAATTGAAACCTTAAAACATGCCATTTAAGAAACAATGATGGAATTTTCATTTTTTAAAAATTACGTCCTGTAGATGGCGTTCTCCTGTACGAATGCATTCCGGAAATCTGCTGTTGAGATTCCTCATTGACTGCTGCAACATCTCAGCTGGGATACTGTGAATTTCATCATGAATTCTAAATGGCGAAATGTTTACTTGCTCATGGTCACTGTCTCGCAGTGTTGCTACTTGCTCAAGTCTGGCAATACGCACTTCAAAAATTCCCGTTTTTGGGGGGTCATCCTGTATTCATATACAAGAGCAAAAACGTTATTGGTTTTCCCAAATTTCTGAGTTTCGAAACATTCACAAATATTCATCAGGTTAGCATAAAATGTCTGGCAAACTCTGGCAGACACAAAGACATACCATTCAAAGTCTGATCAATGAAAGTAAGTGATGTCTCAGAAATTTTTTTAGACTTTTTTTTGTACAAATTAGTATTTAATTTGGTTTGGGATTAATTTATGTTTTACATATTTTCAATAACCATTTTCTTTTAAATCTTTTACATTTTATAGTCATGTATGCCATTTTGGGAAAAGAGTAATTCTTTCAGGAATAGAGTTATTAGAATGAATATATATATATATATATATATATATATATATATATATATATATATATATATATATATATATATATATATATATATATATATATAAGCGAGCGGCGCTATGTTGAGTCTGATTTGCAATCTCTTCATCATTCTATTTGTTGGAACAGTTGGTCTGATGCTTGCTTGACAACCTAACTGTCAGGGTTTCAATTCTCAGTAGTGGATGCGCATTGATGATGAGTCCCAAATATAGGATGAAACGGCCGTCCAGTGCTCTCTGCATTCTGTTGAAGTTTCTATCAGACTCGATGAATTAATTAAATAAATAAATATATATATAATGTGATGCGTATGATAAATATATATTCATCACACGCTCTATCTCTGATATTGAGCACTTTATCCCATAAATATAGCACACCTTAAGACTATATTTTCTTCACATATATATATATATATATATATATATATATATATATATATATATACATTGGTGGTAGTGTTATGGATAATAGTTCAGAGAGAGAAATGAAGAGCTGTGTTCAAATTCTTCTATATGGAAGACTGTCGCAACATTAAAACAAAGCATTCTGCACTCAACAAAATTCCATTTCAAACTAGTCACAGCACATTACATTGCATCTAGACATATGCTGTTAATATTTGTTCTTACATGGTATGACGTCATAGAAATTTAGAACAGCTCATGATCAAACATAGTAGACATTCATTGTCTGTTATATTTATTATTAACTTTACTAATCTACATTTTGTATGAATGATTCATTGTAATATAAATTGAACTGCACCACATATTTGATTTAAAAGAACTGATCCGACCTGCAAATTTTTGGGATAACAACTGAGACATTACTCTATTTATTGAACTATTTAGTTCATGCCACATTGACTGATGAACTCCTACAAAAAAAAAAAAAATTCTCAAATTGCCATATTAGTAAAAAAACGCGCTTGAATTTTCAAAAAAAAAAAAAAAAAAAAAAAAAAAAAAAAAAAATTCAACCTTAGCGTTGCAACTGCACGCTCTAAAAGTTTGTATCCGTTACAATAACAGATTTAAATAAACAAAAACATTTTGTGATTCTCATTATATTTTTTCATCTCAGATGCTACCTCAATTTTACCAAAAACAAAATAATTTCCATGCCAGAAGATGACTGAATGTACAGTTGAAAGTACTTGCGTATTAAAGAAAGAACTTATACAGCTTATAATTTTTAAAAACAAGGATCATAACATTCATCGAGTGATTAGTAGGTTAATGCATCTTTAAAATTTTCTTAGCGAAAAGATTTCGCCATTTCATATCATTAACTTTACTAATCTACTTTTTGTATGAATGATTCATTATAATATCAATTGAACTGCACCACATATTTGATATAAGTTTTATAAATCCTAAGTGGTTTGACATTAAGCTTAAAGGCTGTTTGTAGTGTCCTTTAAGAAAGTTTAAGAAGTTTGAGTTTGGAACAAAAGGATACTGAAAACATGCAATGTTCAGATGAGATATATTCCTTAGTTCAACTGGTTCAGACAGCTAAGACCTGCCATGCCACATACATGGGATTGAACCATTCTCTTTCCCTTTATATTCCATTGGTAAGGAGGAAGTTCCGGTGAAACAGTTTCTTCCCAAGAACCACTAATTTGTGGACTTCTAAGTGAATACTTGCCTGATCATTACAATTTTAATTTTCATGGCAGCCATTATATACTTTAACAACCTCATTCAGCAACTCTCTACCTTGAGTAGCTCTTGGGACTTATTGGGTGAATAAAAGTAACAAAAAAAAAAAAAAAAAAAAAAAAAAAACAACAAAAAAAAAAAACAACATTAATGAATCTGTGGGTAGCACAATCATTCATGAAGGTTGAATCAGTGCAGAGGGGAATCATTTTTTTGTCACCTTTTAAATACTATAAAGCCATTTTGTTCAAAGAGAGGGACATCTCCCCACTTGACCTTGATGGTGGTTGATGAAAGAGCTTTCCCGGTTACATTACTTGGACCAGATGAAGGAACTAAGGTAAAAGAAAGGAAAAAGAAAAAAAAAGAAGCCACTGTTAATAATTTATCATTCCAAAATTTGTTCATAATAATAATACATTATCCCGAGGATGAACATGCAAGTCAAGTAGGGTTTTCTTTACTCAACAAGAAGAAAATTAGTTTGAACACAAACACATACGTTGCACATATGGAGGTATACACATGAACATACGCAAATACACAATTTCTAAAGATTTAAAAATTTTCTTTCAACCCCAAAAATGTTAACATTTTTGTGTCTTAGTGGCTTTATCTCCTTCAAGACAAGTGAAAGGATAAAAAGTTACACACATAATGGAAAGCATACACACACTTATACATATATATATGTTAATAAATACATACATAACTACATTTGTAATGCAACTTAAGTTTTTATGGTTTCCCAAGTCATTAGGCATGAATGGCAAATGAACCACTTAATCAGAAATGAAGCATCGAGAGAAAAGTTTTATCATCAAACCTTTCCTCCCTATGTAGCAAACCACCATTATTCTCTTTGTATTCCATTGGCAAGATAAATTCCATTGGAGCAGCTTCTTCCTACAAAACAACTTCCAAATGATGCTTCTCCAATCGCTACAATTTTTACCTGTTCAAGTCTTGGGTTAACCGTTATCGTCCCCACATAACTGCAAAAGCGTTCCTCTTAATCTGTAACCTTCGAGTGGCTCTTGGGCCTTGTACAAGTAAACAGAATTGCAAAAAAAAAAAATCTCTACCTGTTCAAGTCTTATAAAAAAGTTTATTTTTACAAACAATAATCTTACTCTTTTAAAAATTACCTTGAAAAAAAAATTATACATTGTAAAAAAATGTTTTGGGAAAAAAAAAATAAGACATTTTCATTTAAATAATGTGTTTTTGTTGTTTCAACTGGCTGAATTGAAAAAATATAGATTAACATATTTATACATTATGAAATGGACAAAGTCCGACAATTATTTAAGACATTTTTAATCATGGAGAATTGTGTTTAAAAACAGTAAAATCGGCATTGATAACTGAATGCTCCTCTGTGGCCCAACTGGTTAAGTCACGTCAGGCTATATGACGGTTCTGTATAGGAAACAGGTTCGATTCCTGTCGGAGAACGCATATTTTCTATGAAAATTTCTCGGACATTCAGGCCGGGTAAATGTTGTTAATACTGTTTATTATAAAAAGAACATTTACTTAAATATTTGTATCTATAAAAAAGAACATATAAACATAAAAAATGTCTTAAATAATTAACATATTTATATCCTTTTTTTTGGAAACAATTGCAAAAATCAACAAAAAGCATGTTTTTACTGACCAGATTCCATTGTTTTCTGAACAACTGTCGGACTGAATAAACTTTTGCCGACAGAGTTAAACGACCTCATTTTCACTTCGTACTCGACCCATTCATTGAGGCCCGTTAGAATGTAACTATAGTTATTGACAGCATTTTCCAGGCGAATAATATTCCATTCACTAGCAGAGTCTTTCATCTTGTAGAAAATATTGTAGCCACGAGGTTCCCCATTCCATTCACGTTTGGTCAATAAAAAGAGATTTAAGAATAGTTAAATGAACAAACAATGGCAAACTCCCTCCAAAAAAAAAAAAACAAACAAAAAAAACCAAAAAAAAACAAAAAAAAAACAAACAAAAAAACAAAAAAAAAATTATATATCCTTACATTTTTAATAGTAATATTAGGAGGCATGTGGAGTAATAATTAGCAGCTCAGATTGAGGAATCGGAGAGCTGAGTTCAGATTCTAATTGGGTTCATTAGATTTTGGTTATGTGCTTGGGAAAACTATGAATACATATCTTCTCCCCCAACTATGGGTTAAATAGTAGGACAGATGAGTCCTATAGTTTTGGATGACAACCAATCGAGGAGAAACATTACAGTGAATTAAAATTGAGGAAAGCGGGCTCTGTCAGTTCATCAGATCCGGGTGTTTGTATTACAACTGGATTAGCGGCTGCTTACATGCCCTACACCTTTGAATCCATATTTCAATGTCTTTGAATCTTTTTAAAAATATTTTAAAGGGTACTTGACAATCAACTGCTATTTCCATGTTTATTATTATTATTATTATTATTCACAAAAAATGATATTAGTTGCTGGTAAAAAGTTTATTTTCATATCGTTACTTGCAGACACAGTGGCGTAATGGTTAGTGACTTGGATTGTGAAATTGGAGTGCTGAGTTCATTATTTTCACTTATGTTTCCCTTGGGAAAGGTATGAATCCATCACTTCCTCCCAGCTAGGGGTAAAATAGCATTCCAAACTGGGTCTTATAGCCTTGGCTGGCAACCAGTCTAGGAGAAGGAAACTAAATTCAAACCAGCCTGGAGAAGGCTGGGCTCTATCAGGTTAACATGGCCAGAAAATGTTTGAGTCTAGAAGTGTGTATACAGGGGACTGATTGTGAATCCAAATTCCTGCTGAAATTCCATCTATAAATTCACTTGTCCCAATGAATACAACTTCTGCTATAATTGATCAGCTTTCATTCAGATGCAGTTAAACCATTTGATGGATTTGCTTCATCCAACACCGTATGAATGCTGCAACAAGTAAGTAGTTATATAACACTACATTTTATAGTCTGGCAATTTTTATAACCCAGAAAAGTTTGACGATCTACCACAAGATTTATTTGCAAATTGAAATTTAATTTGAGGTTTTATAAAGTGACTTATTAAGCCAGGATTAGCAGTACTGATCACTAAAATAACAATGTGGTAATAGAGAAATAAATAAAAATAGATGGATAATAAGAATCACCAGGCAAACAAAGCCATAATTCAACCAACCAATTAGAAAGCTTTCATAACCATAAAAATTAATTAAGAAAAATATAATTCTTACAGTCCAGCTGATACGGAGGGCAGTTTCATTAACAGCCCACACTGTGAGATTGCCAGGTGGTTTTGCAGGTGGTGCCTGTTTGGTCTGAAAACGTCGAGATGGGATGCTTGGCCCACTTTGTCCTACAATATTTTCAGCAATCATACGCAGGATGTAATGTGTATATGGAACAAGTGATGTGCATGAAATGGTTTCCATTTAGCAAAAGGAGTTTTATTTCAGAAGATTTCAACCCAATTTGTGTTGTCCTCAATTTAATGAAACAATCTAATATATTTGCAAACCTAAGTTTTGCCAAATCTTTTAAAGTTTGAATTGCAGCTGAACATCCATTAATTCAATAAACTGATACACCAAGATTATCTTATTGACATTTAAGAACTGAAAATCAAAATTAAAAAAAATTAAAAAGAAAAAAACAAAAAAATTAAAAAAACAAAAAAAATTAAAAACAAAAAAAATTAAAAAACAAAAAAATTAAAAAACAAAAAAATTTAAAAAAATTTTCTCCAAAAAAAAAAAAAAAATTAAAAAACAAAAAAAAATTAAAAAACAAAAAAAAATTAAAAAACAAAAAAAAATTAAAAAACAAAAAAAAATTAAAAAACAAAAAAAAATTAAAAAACAAAAAAAAATTAAAAAACAAAAAAAAATTAAAAAACAAAAAAAAATTTTTTAAACTAAAAGAAAAAAATTAAAAAAAAAAATTAAAAAAAAAGCTAAAAAAATTTAAAAAAAAACTTAAAAATTAAGAAAAATTGAAAAGTTAAATTTAAAAAAAAAATCCAAATTTAAATTTAGAAACAAAAGGAAAAAATTAAATTAAATATTTCAATGATCCTGATACCAAGATTGCTTGGCAGAAATGAATAAAAAGAGTTTATGCTTAAGAAAAAAATAAAAAAAATTGAAAAATTTGTTTTTGAATTCAAAAATTAAAGAAACCAGAAATTTTGAAAATAAGACAAGAAGAAAAAAGTGAAATTTCAATTTAAAGAGAAAAAGAGAAAAATAAAAAATTTAAAAATAAAAAAGTCTACAAAAAAGTTAATAAAAATTGGAAAGGTAAAAAAAAATTTATAAATTTCAAAATAGTTGAAGATTAAAACAATTTTGAAAAAAAAAAAAATTAATTTAAAAACCAAAACAATAAAAAATTAAATCTATATATAAATTCTCAAAATGTATGTATGTATGTATGTATGTATGTATGTGTGTCTTTATGATCAGATGTTGTTTATGCGTTGTCACATTTTTTTCATTCAATTTTGATGAATTTTTTTGTGTGATAGATAATTCTTCAGCACTGGTTTTGTTGTAGAGTAGTTTCACAGTGGAGGCTTGTATTTCACTAAGTCGGTCCTAAAATAGGTTCGACGTACAAAACGTTAAGAACTTGATATAATAGGTAATGACGCAGAGAAATCTAGTGGTGGTCGCTGATACTTTTTGTATCTGATTAACAGTCGTCTGACATCGACTGACTGACCAACTCACTGACTGACTCACTGAGAGACTACTACTACTACTACTTATTATAGGTGGGAGAGTCTATTAACAATAGAATAGGTGTGTTTCACTATAACAGGTTTTGAGTCCAAATTGGCTGGAAAAGGTGAAAAATCGAAAAAACTGATTTTTTACAGTTTGCGCAAAAATCAAAGGCAAAATTTAATGTCTGTAAAATACAGTGTACATTCACTTTAGAGATTTGAAATCTAACGCAAAAGATTATTAAAATTATAAAGAAAAATTATATTATAAAGAAAAATTACTGTATGTTATTATTATGATGGTCTATAGAAGAGTTTCATTCCTTGCAAGATTGAGAAGTTGAAAACAGCCCTTTTCAGGCCCCCACCATTCAAATTGTTAAACCCCTCCATTTGGGGATGTGCCTCAGTTGCACCCAATTGTTGTTACTAATATTGATTTTGGGGTGGGTTGACTTTAAACTTAAACTACTCCAATTGAATGGCAAAAATTCCTAGTATTGAAACACCCAGTCGAGGATGAGTTCAACTGCTTGTATTTCAATATAACAAAGATTGCTTGGGTCGGTTGGTAGAATAGATATTTTAAAAAATTATATTAAAAACTAAAAACTTAAAATATTTGGAAAAAAACTGAAAATTAAAGAAATTAGCAGTTTTGGAAATAAAACTGAAAAATGAAGCCAAATTTAAATTTAAAAACAAAAAAAAATTAAATCAAATATTTCAAAATAATTTAAGAAATTTAAAACTATTCTCTGAATTTATCTTACATATTTATAAGTCTACCATTCAGCCATGCTTTAAATATTACTGCCACATATGGTCTGGTGCTCCTGCTATATATTGGAAGATTCTTGATGAGAATCTTGATAAAATCCAAAGAAGAATCTGTAATGTTATTGGTCTTGACCTGGCATCTTGGTTTCAGTCATTTTCCCACCATCATAATGTCGCTTCCCTGTGCCTTTTCTATAGATACTTTCGTGCTAATTGCTCAAATGAACTTTTCTCTATGAGACCTAGACTTTATGAATTTAATCTCATTCTTTTACAGTTGAAATGGTTCTATGTAACGAAGTTCTTCGCTAACAGCTTTTTATTTTGTATTT